TGGTTATGTCGCATGGTTGGATTCTAAAGCCATCAAAAGAATCAATTTTGTGATTTACTGCTTTATGATTGCTAATTTGGTAAACTTTTCCTCATAATTCTTACACTTGGAAGGAGAACCGCCCTATAACCCTAGGAATACATGCAGGATCACACACATGCTTTTAAAGAGTTGATAAGAAGAAATTATGTTTATTGAATGTACTGTAGTGTGTCATCACAAAAGTAACAGCTGTAAACAGAAGGATGTATCTTTAAAACCCAAACGTGATGATTTCCTAGGTCACCTCTGAGCCAAGGCACCTTGTCAATACTAAACAAACCCCCTTCCCCACCACTTCAAAAAATGTAATAAACTTGTCATTTTTCTAAATCATTGATCTGAACATAATGCAAGCCACACTTGAAAAGAAACAACAGCAGCATTTCAGAATTAATTATCCACTGGGAAATTAACAACATATTTCAGTATTGGAGGAAGACCAGAAGAACATTATACTATAAACAAGTATTAAAAACCTGCTGTTTCTACAAAACATTTATTCATGATTAACTAGGATATGCAGGGTAACAGCAACGTGGAAAGGATCAGAGAGATTCCTAGAACAACAGGTGACTTCAGCTGTGAAAAAGAAAGGTGTTGTCGTGGCGGGAAAGATATGAGAAAGTATAGGAAAAATTCAGATTGAAGGAGAAAAAACATGAAGCACTAAGAAAATTAGAATTAACACCTGAAAATTCAAATTCAACTGATAAAATCACTAAAACATTTTAAATGTTAAGTGTTGTGACCATGTATTAATAGCACTCTGTCCATGGGCAGACTGTAGTTATGATTGTTCTTTATAATAAACATTACCAAAATTACTACAGATAAAAGATGACCAAGAATTTAAGATAAGCTCAACTGTATGTACAGTAGTTGTGTAATTTCTTATGATACTCTGTAATATTGCTATTAGTCAACAGCAGTGTCATAACAGCAGTACATGTTTGTGATTTGGGAAAAGGTAGATGAAGGTGCAGTAATTAAATGAGGCAATGGACAATCCAGAATACAAATCACAAGAGCCTACATCATTACAAATTCAAAACACCTTTAGCCATGAAGAAACTGTTTGCACCATAAGCTAAAATTAATCATATGATAAGTACACAAACAGATGGGGAAAAAAAAAGAATGATCAAAAATGAATCTAATTAACCTTGAGCCTCATTAGTCTATGCACAGGAAAACACATTATAGCTCTTACAAAAAATAATACACAATTAAATCAAGGTTTAAAAAATAAATATTAATTCAAGACATACACCAGCATGAGAAAACAAAAACAACTAGTAAGGGTGGACTTGGTTCTAAAAAACAACATGAAATAACGTACTAAAAGAACATATTTCCTATTACATTCTGCTTCTTAACCAGACAGCATGGCTAAAGGGATCCTGCCTTTGAGGTAACAGCACAATCCATACAGGACACAATATCAACATCCCTTACATGTAAACTGTATTTCCTCATCTGCATCTATCTGGTAAAGTCATTGTAACCTGTCCTAAATAATCTATCAATTAAGGAAGATTTTAAAATAATTTAAATCCTTTTTCCCCAAAAGCAAGGACCGGATAATATAACTCTCGGACTTCAAGCTTGCTTTCAGATATTGATAAACTCTTACCTTCATGTTTATAGGTCATTTCTTGGCACCCAGAAAAATACAGGCAAACAAGAGCGCACAAGCAGATGAAGGATGAAAAATACAAGATAAGCAGCAAATACTCCATTGTCGCGTTTTACACCAAAGCAGATTATCCTTGATTCAGCCCTTTTTAAAAGGTCTTGATGTCAATCTAACATCCACAGCAACACAACTTTACAAGATATGATTTTTTTAAGGCAAACGAATCTTAGATCATTAATACTCAAATGTTTTTAAAAATGAGTCCTGAGGCATGTACTGTAATAGACTATAATCTACTAAATCTCAGCGATAAAAAAATAATTGGATTAATTTCTGAGGAGGGATTGCTTCCTTTCCCTGAACTTTTGTTCATGCAAAATTTTAAAAGAAATTGCTCTTCTTACTTCAGATCAACAATTTCTCTACAACTACATAAGCCAGCAAAAGATTCTTTCAATCTTTGAAGACCCCCCTCTCAGCACTCTGACAATACAGGGACGTGCGTGTGCCTCCGTTAATGTGATAGGTCTCACTGACTCCTGCAGTCTCCTCTCCACCCCTCCTTTGCTTCTCTCTAACTCCATGAAACGGTCTTTTCTGTCTGCATTCAGCATTCACAATTCCCCATCTCCCCAGCCTGGTGTTACTGGGAGGGCTCAGCAAACCCAGCAACCAAACCTCGCCGCATTTCCACTTCATTAATACCCACAGCACTGATCCATAACTTCCATAGTTCCCTTAATAATGGTAATAGGGATTTTACTATTTTTTGTGTGATTATGCTGTCAAGTAAAAACAAATTCATCCTAAAAATCAGGGATGTCAAACTGTAAAAAACACAAACTTGTTCGAATGCACTAAAAAAATCAGCAAACAGACTAACTGAACAGTTAACATGAAGAGCTTTTAAAGGCTGAAAGGTGTACTCGGCTACAAAGACAATACCTCTGTGTATGATCAAATGAGAGAGAAAAAATTGAAAATGCAATTTCAAAATAAAAAAAAAAACATTTTTAATACAGGAGAAACTAGCAATCCTATTAATCCAAGCATTTTTGGAAACTATGGATCTTGCAATGATAAATGTTAACTTCTTGAAAAAAAGGCTATACTGCAATCCAATATATTGGGTAATACATCAACACTTAAAGGATCTAAGTGGTGCTATCAAAATACATGACATTCAACAGCTCTGTCAGCTGTGGGTTTCATTATGAGGATTGCGCACAACCCGTCTTGGACACATAATGAAAATTACTTTGACTGTGCATGCGCATATTTTAAAAAACACAGAACAAATTAGAGTTTCATAAATTGTGCAAGATTAGTGGAAATAGATTTTTTCCCAATGTCCATGCTGTACGCCACAGTAGATTACTCATTAAAAGATATCAAGGTGACTAAGGAATTAACTGACCAGCATACAGGAGTTCACCTTTAAAATTCTTAAAAGAACAGATTCAGAATAATTCAGAGTCTCATGAAATATAGCATGCATAATGAACACGAACTAGACAATGCACTAAATAGTTTAGGAGGAATAAACTACTTACAGGTAAAAGCAATTTGTGGGTGAAATACTTTCACGCATGATTTATATTAAGTTTATATCTTAAGCATCAAATTTAATGCCTTTCTCAGGACTTTTGTGCTAGAACACAGCGGACTTGAGTATTACAGTTTGTGACTGTGGTTTGAGAGTTAACATGCCCAGAGCCACACAGACTAACTCCGTGGTCCTCAGGTTCACATAAGACAAAACGTTAGAACTGAAAGAAAAACTTACAATTGAATAGCATTAAAAGCACTGTCTCGTAACCACAAATGGACATAACACCATCATATGATGACAGAGTGCTTATGATCACAAATAATGTTGTTTTTTTATATTTAAAGCCACAATAACCACAATCAGTTTTGTAAAGCGCTTAAATGGATGAGACTAAAGTAAAGCCACCTCTCAATGGTACTATACATTGTACACAAGAAAGAACATTTCTGTAGCGGTGCTGTCTGGTTCTGACCCTGAAAGTAATAGAAAACCTAAATCTCCCAAAAAATGAATCATGTATAAGGGATTTAAAGAGAACAAAACAGAATTCCACCCTCACTACCCAGGTAAGCACGGCACTAAGTGCAGGAATAAAATATATTTTTTCTCCCATTTACAACATCTGATTTTAGACAGCATGAATCAGCCTTACCACAGCCCCTGAGTACAATTAGAGGCTGACTTGCATCCTCTGCGAGACAGTTGCTAAGAGACTAGAGTGACAGAGCAAAACTTAAATAACCCAACCGCTGTGAAGAAAACAGAACAGACATATTCCCCAAGCCAGCCGAAAGAACAACAGGCACAATCATGTGAATCCGAGATAACTGTACATTTTGAGAATCCCAAATGGATAATAAAAATAACATGAACAGCTTAAAAAACTAACTATGCATGTATCACGTCCAATTTCAATAATGTCGGTCTTTTCAGAGTAAAGTTAAGAATTAATTTCTCAAAACACGTAGCTCATATCTAGGGAAAGACCGGTCACCTCATGCTGTGGGGAACAAGAAAATCAACACCCCAATTAGAACTCTTTCTGGATGATGATTCTATTCTGGGCCTCAAACAGTATCAGAAACAGATCTGGCTGCTGTTGGCCTCCATTTTCTGGGATGACCGGATCATGGCCGGGCCTGATATTTTTTATATGAACCGTCAACATCTAGACTACAGGGACTGACCCAAGGTGGTAGCCTGGAAGAGCTGATGCAGCCAAAGCCTTATTTTTTGGACGCTTCCTTTGGATCCTTAGGGAGAAATGTGGAAGGGAGTACCACTAAATGGCAGGGCTCTGTTGGGGGTGGGGATTGGTTATTTTAGTTGTAGCATTTTATTTTATAGTGGTTGGGAGGACAAAAAAAGCAAGGTATTGAACAAAAGGTGCCTCAATCCTCAGTCCAACCTCTGTTTAGATCCCTGTCAATCAATAATAGATCACCACACATTATCAGTGGGGAGGAGAACAGAGTGATGAAGCCAGTTCATAGATGGGGGTTATTAGGAGGCCATGATTGGTAAGGGAAAATGGGAAATTTAGCCAGGACGCAAGGGTTACACCCCTACTCTTTTCGAGAAACGCCCTGAGATTTTTAATGACCACAGAGAGTCAGGACCTCAGTTTTATGTCTCATCCGAAGGACGGTGCCTTTTTACAGTATAGTGTCTCCGTCACTATACTGGGGCATTAGGACCCACACAGGCTGCAAGGTGTATTTCAGAGATAGTGTTTACTCAAGTATACAGTACATCAGATTTTTTATATGGCATTTAACAATGTCCCAAGCTTTAATCAAATATTATGAAAACACTTTAAATTAGAGGTTGGTAACAGTGGTAAGAGTATGCTTTCTATATTTAAAGATTTAATTATTAAAATTATGGGTTAGCACTGCTGGAAATCTATTAAGTGAAAACAATTACACCATAATCATTCCCAATGACGCAAGAAAAATAATCACTGTGAACAATATCTAAGAAATGCTGTACACCTCTAAAAGCAGGAAATATCTTTAAACTTCACACTTAACAAAAGTACACTACTTTATATACTGTATGTAGACCGGCAGCACCTCAAAAGACAGTGTATTAGTGAGATTTTATAGTCCCAAACAAGATGGCAAAATTACTAGCACTATGACAGTATGTGAAAGTGAGTCCGTTCCTTGAGCAAATTACAGATTTCTGATTGTAGCAGAGCAAACCAATCTCGTGCACAGTATTTGTTGTTTAAATGAAATATAAGAGAGTATAATAAGAATTGCTTGCACAGCAACACTGGCACGAACATACCACCAACATGGTTCTATAATGTACAGATACCAGATTTTCATTTTAATTTAGCTAAAACGTTCATATACTGTACAGTGCACTTCAGTTCATTGTTCATTGGGTTCCAGCTCCAAGTCATAGAGTGATACTTCAAAGGGACTGTGAGGAAAAAAAAAATCATACAGAGGACTCTGGTTCCCATGAAAAAGGACAGTTTCTGTTGAGTCCCTGGATTAAGAAAACATTACCTTACTATTATCATAGTCTATAGGCATGTGACATTAGGGCCATTTGATCTTTAAATCACTGCTTACTAAACATAGATAAAGGACTGAGAAAACAAAGTAATTCACCCTGTGTAAGGAAATCCACAAATAAAATCATATGAAATAATGTTAATTGCCGTTTAATTCAGTTTTATAAAATGTTGTTAATTATACTTTTTGTTGTTACATGTTACTTAACACTTACTATGTCTAACAACGATATCTTACAAAGTATACTGAACATTCATTCAGCTTGGCCAGCAAATATTTCAGGTAAATTAAGTCTGTAATTGTACAGTTGCAGTACAAAGTATTAACCCCCCTCGGACCTCTGCCACATTTTGCTCATCAACTTCAAATTGCAACACATTTGAACAGGATTTTTGGCGCAATCAACAAAACAGACTTGGTTTTGAAACTGCATAATTGTTTTTATTGTAAAAAAAAAACTTTATGAAAAAGAGAACACTGAAAAATACATCTTGGACAAGTATTCACCCCACTAAGACCTTAAGTATTTAATATCAAGGTCATTGTCCTGTTGAAATATGAATCTCTGCTACAGTTTCAGATCTTTTGCAGACTGTTCCAGGTTTTTTTTCCCGGATCTACTGTTTGCTCCATTCGTTCTACCCTCTACTTTGACAAGCCTGTAGGTCCCAGTCAATGAAAAGCAACCCCAGAACATTATGCTGCTACCACCATGCTTCAATGTGGGAATGGTGTGTTGTGAGTGAAAGGCAGTGCTCTTCCTTCACCAGATATATGGCTATCATTGAGATAACTCAATTATTGTCTCATCAGACCATGACTATTATTTTTTTCATATTGATTCAAAGGCTCCCACATGCTTTTCTGCATATTCAAGAAGGGACTTGATGTGAGCTTTTTTTCCCCAAATATGGCTTCCCCCTCGCCACTCTATCATACAGCCGTGATTTGTTTTGGCCTCTTGACCACTTCTCTGACCAATGCCTTTCTTGTCTGGCTGCTGAGTTTTGGAGGACAACCTGGTTGTTGAAGATGCTGAGTAGTTTTATGTGTCCTCCAAACCTTGCTAATTGATTTAACAGTGCTTCTTGGGATAATCGGTGCCTTTGCAATCTTCTAATGCCCCTCGCCTGACTTGAATCCGTCCACAATATGTTCCTTAGTTGTTGCAGAAGCTCCTTTGTCTTCATATGGCTGTCTGCAATGTCCAACAATGGGAACGCACAAAGACTGGTGTGCACAGCCTGAATGGTTAACCTTTTTAATAGCACACAGGTGGATTCCGGTCATCATACTGTACAAATTCTGAAGGCAACAGGGGTTAAATACTTTTGCAATGAAGATTTGTAACTATTTTTAGCCCCTAACACACATTGATATCGCAGAAGATGCTGCATAGAACAAATAGGAAGGTCTGTTGCGTTTTCCAGTTGTAACACAACTAAATGTGGCAACATAAAATGGCGGTCAATACTTTCTACACCCACTGCATACTGTATGTAGTATATCATCACATGTAACCGAGTTCATGTAATGTTTGAAAACAGGACGTATAAAATAATTTATAAACATTAGCTGGCTTCATATGTTACTCCAGCATTTCACAGCATCTCCCTCACTGTTCACACTTGGTCCATCCATCCATTTTGTAACTGCTTTATCCAATTCAGGGTTGCAGGGGAGCCGGAGCCTTTCCCAGCTAGCAAGCGACAGACACAAGGCAGGATACATCCTGGACAGGACACCAGTCGATAAAAGGGCACACACAGATACACTCACACCAAAGCCAATTTTCCCAGAAGCCACTTAACCTACAAGAACGTCGTTAGATTATGGGAGGAAACAGGAGAACTCATGTGAACCCAGTTCAGTGGGTTTTTCAGTACATTATCACGACAAAAACATATTTGTGAATTCTTCAAAACTGCACTAGCTTAAAGATATTAAGAAGAAAACAAACAGAATATATGTAATAAATGCAGAGACATCTTGGAATTTATTTTATACAACGGGAATCTAAACACATTCAAACGTCTTTGAAAATCTCATGCCAGCTCATGAATCATTTCAGCAAATTAAAATCCTACTTACCTTTGGGAGCTTGATGCTTTTCCTCTTGGTTTTTTTGGAGAGTCTCAATCTGTCACGCTCCTGTCAAGGGACAAAAGACATTGCAAAGCTTGTCAAACTTTTGAAGGGAAAACTGAAACCGGGAAAGAGATCTAGGAATCAGACTGCTGCAGTCAGTGTAAAGGAGACAATTTAGTAGAAAAGGACAGGGTGGAACTGAAAAGTCCTTTGGATTCGTTTGCCTGTATGAAAAATACTTTTAAACAAGCCTGCCTTGTAAGATTGACGCTTCAAGACCTGGATATCCACAAATCAATCCGAACAATAAGGAAGATGAAGCTTATAAAAATAAAGATTTAGCTTTGACACTTCAGGTTTCCAACATTTAGCAATGCAAAAACATGGAAAGGTGGATAATTTCTTCCTACATTGTCAGCACTTTGCGACCCTGCCCATTTTGTTTTTTTTTACAAATTTGTTTTAGTTACAGTTTAGCAGATGATTATAGATTCCAATCAACCTGAAATTGATCAATTCCACTCAACCTGTATTAAGAAACTGTGGCAGGATGGATTGGGAGAGGGGCAGATGGGTCCAGTAGGTACCCAGATGGGGGAGAGGAGAAACAAGAGCAGGAGACGAATGTAACACCAAGGCACTTCTCAGGAGAAAGAAGCCTTAGTTGGAGAAGGTCCGTAGGAGCTCAGCCACTGGAGGCATATACTGTAAAGGAGCAACTAACAACTGAAAACTTGTCCAAGACTTAACAGGGGAAAGGAAATGTTATTAAAAGAAGCAGTAGCAGTCAGTGCCAACACTGGGGGGTGCTGCCTGAAAGGTGAGTAGCCCCAACAGCAGGGCACAACCAGCTGAGCAATACAAGAGTAGGGTGGATAAGCACCGGCCATGTTTCAAGAGAACTAACTAAATATGTATTTTAAAACAATGTTAAGAAAAAAGCTTCAGAAGTTCCAAATGTCAAAGGAGCACCAGGATCACAAGGACCAGTCGGAGTGCCTGAGTCCCCTGTGTCACCTGCTACTGCTTTGAACACTAAGAGGACAGCCAGAAAAGCACAAGAGGAAGAGACTCTTGAAGACCTCCTTTAATGGGCAGAAGATAACAGGAGCTCCAAGAACTACAGCACTGAAGACAGAGCCCCAGCGCTGGTGCAAAAGAAAAATGAGCTCTCAGCCTTGTCTGAGAGAATTGACTTGTGAAATGGTATACAAGGGGACATTTTCTCTGTACTGGTTTACTGGTAGTGGGTCAGTCTATTACTCAAGGTTGGATTTAGTTTAGTTAGATTAAAGTCTTGATTGGTTGGACTAGGATTAGATTAGGGACCAGTGGGACTAGGAAAAAGTTATATTTTTATACTTAAAATCGTTTTATTTTTCTTCTTAAGAAGACTCCTATAAAATCGGTAAGCTTATTGTTTTCTCTTTTCGTCTGCTCACTTAGCCTTCCTTAGTATCACCATATGCATCCTGTATTGCTTAAACTCTGTGGTTCCTACAAGGCTGCAAAATAAAGATGTTTTTATGTTTTAAAAGCTTGCCTCTCAGATATGACCTTCTCTGGAAATC